AGACGCCGCCCACAATGTTCGTGCCCTACAATCTTCACACGGCGACGCTCTGCTGACCTATAATACCGCTTTTTCCGGTGTCTGGAGTGCTCTATAACTATTCCCACAGATTTTTCGTCTGACTCCGCCCACACTCAAGGCAGACGCCGCCGCACAAAGTTTGTGGCCACCATTTCTCAATCGGCGACTCGTTGCTGACCCTGAAATCACGTGTATTCCAGTCTCGGAGAGCTCTCGAACATTTTACAGAACCTTTTGTCTGGCTCCGACCACCTCGGAGCAGCTCTGCCACATGTTTCCTCGCAATCCTCACCGGCGACTCTCTGCTGACCTTAGTCCACTTTTTTCCGGTGTCTGGAAGTGTTCTGGAACCGAGCTACAAACTTTTAAAAGAATACCCTGCGATTTAGGGCAAGCTCCGCCCACTGTGGGCGGGTCTCAACACACTTTGAGCGCGCCCTGTATTCGCCAGATATTTACATTCTATTAGGTTGGCCGGAAAGTTTGATCGCACCATATTTGCCTTGCATGTATGTTAACGTGCTGTCACACTGAAAGGTGCTTCTACGGATACCTTACGCACAGCTCCTTCTGGAAATATTTGCATCTTCGCACATTCTTGATTACACTTCTTGCCGTGATTGGGGAGATTCTCGGTTACAGCGTCTCTCCACCACAATTGCTATTGAAAGCACTGGTGTTGTGTAATGATACAAGTCGTCCTAATGAACGTTCATTGATGCGATATGTAATTCCACTCTCTTTTTGTTAATGCATAAACTTCTAAGTCTTCTTCGATACAGCAAGCCTCGGTTGGTAACTAAGCTTGTACTACCGCGCCATTCGCAAGTAATTCGTGTATGTTCATCCTCAATTGAGGAAATATTTCTTGAACCTTAAACGATTTTCTTCGCTGGCAGTATCTCTTGAAAGGACTGACTTATCCACGTATAGGTTTTCGCAATTTCAACTGACTTATCCACGTATAGGTTTTCGCAATTTCAGTCACCAAAGAAGATTATTTTCTTCGTCGATTATGTGACTGACTCTGTGTTATAGCTCTAATAAAAGATTAGACGAATCAATCAATCAAAATGTAACCCTCGTGAAACGATGCGTCGCAAAATTGTTTCCCTCTGGGGATGTGGTCGTATATTTGCTGGCGTCTCGATCAAATTCGCCTGAAGACAAACTTTATATTCACCTTCGTGGATCCTGGTTTTTGCTAATGAATGGATCCGCACCTGCAGTAACGTGCCGCTTTCTCCGGTCACAAGTGCACGGGAATGTTGCCGAAGGGTAATGATACTTGGGTGCCGTCTCTATGCTCCGCCCGCACTGCCGCACGGCAGCTATAGGAAAACGTAGTTTTTCCAACCATGCGGCTTTGCAAGATAATCCTGCAGTGAAGTCATTGTGCGTCCATGAACCGCGCATACTTCGGGAAACTGGCTGCGATGCTCCAGAAAGGGCTCCTTCGGAAAGTCGTAATATTGTTGCAAAGACATGACCCACAAATAAGACAAAGGAAAATGAACAGAGCGCCTCAACCTAGGGGAATTCTCTTGTTTCCACGTAAACACAAAACAGAAACTGCTATTGGACTCTGAAAAGGACAATGCTCCGCTAAAAAGAATCAAGGATAGTTGACTCTCCATTTCGCACGAGACTGAAGCCGAAACAACCTCGTCTCCTAGATTCTCATACAAGATCCTATAGGAAATGGAATTAAGGGGTTCTAGAAATCATTCCTCGCTTATTGGGAAAAAAAGATACCGTATCGCGAGAAAAGGAGCCGATTACACCAAGTAGAACTGAAAAATGCAACCATCAAAACTTAATGTTCCAAAGCATACTGTTTTACATGGGTGTAGGTGGCGAATCCACGTAGGGCCACCGCTGCCATTTCCCTCCTTGCCATGCGCGGCGACCACTGGCTAACTGAACGAGATCCATGCGATCGTGCGAGTAGGACCCTATTCCATTCAAACAGCTTTGGTACCATGCCAAGCTACGTGGAATTTTGCCAGATCGTCAGGACAGTCAGGACAGGACGCCATCAGTCCTTATTCTTGGTTCCGCTGCTCTTGCATGGTCTGGTACAGTACGAGGGTAGTGTCTTTTGGTTCATCGGAAGTTACTCGCCTTCTTGTCACTGAACCATCGAACTAACAGATAATTCCAGAACGTTCAAGATGTTGCGGTAAAGGATTTTTTTGAGCTCTTGCTTCGGTTGTGCAGTCCAATCGCATCCGGCGCAGAGAACCAAGGAACTTCTCTACTTTTTGGAGAAGATCTTTGCAATACGTTTATTTCAATCCCTTAGATTAGAAGAGCATCTCTATCGCCGTTTGAAGTAATATCATTTAGAACAAATTCCATTCCTGCGTGTCAAGAAAATACCCCTGTTACAATTAGTAGGGGACGCTGGGTAGAACAAGCGCATATGTTTCAGTAAAGTTTGAGGACGATTTCCGAACTTATCAGCTCCCAGTTCCATAATGGCAACATCTCGTCCTTATTCATTAAATGAGGAATCGCGATTATAAAAAAAGCATTAATGTCTTGATTATAAAAAAAAGCATTAATGTCTTCTTGGAGATTATCAGAAAACTTGACAATTCGCTTGACTTCTTTGCAGTCGCTGATGATGTCATCCTAAAAATCAGCTGGAAACGGTGGTGAAGGTGAAGCGAGTCTGAACCGCCTCAGTTCTCGATAAAAAGTTCAAATCGTTCCTTCATGGCTAAAAAGGTCGAGGACTGGGACTGCTCAAGTAGGCCCCCAAACTACTTTGGAAAAATTTCTTCCCGCATCTTCATCGCAAATGCATGGGAACTGTAAACGAGCAGATATACCTTACCGTAAGAGTATGTTGCAAAGAACACCACTCTTATTATTAGTATGAATGCTGTTATTTTCGAAAATGAGTCAATGCTGGTCAAAGTCGTAAGAATTATTGGGTAGCGTTCGAAAACCAGCGCGGAAAACATGGTAATTAAAATTGGAGAAGAGAGGAAAGTTGGACCTCCCATTTGTTGCATGATGTCTTTTTTCCCTATTATTGATGACGAGTTATATGACGCACTCTGTAGCTATCCACTGTTGGGGAACCGTTGGGCCTGCACATATAGCTGGGACACTTGGGAAGACTCACCTTGCATCTTTTCTCCCTTGCTGATGGGGACTTCGTTTAACTGACCGCTGACCTATCCTTGTTAGGCTCACGTAACAAGAACATGAGCAAAAATAGCGCTAATCTTATTTTATAAAAAGGGTACATTGGTGCATCCTCCCACAAATGCTATAAGCGGCCTCAATGTGGCGTTGGAGTGGTGCCTTTGGCCGGCTAAGGGCTACAGTGTGCCGGCGCCTCCAGAGAGTAGAAGAGCTGCAGAACATCACTCAGGAGGTTCTTCCAAAACCTGCACTATAATGATCAATGGATTTTCAAGTATCCCGATCAGAACTAGGTTTCCCTCCGCAATGGGCCAAACTAGGATATCCACCGTAATAGACACACAAGCGAGGCAGTCCTCCGCAAAGTGCAAACGCAAGACCATCAGGATCGCCTTGGCACTCTGACCGGCCGCTTCGCCGAACTGACGGACATGCTGGCGGAAAGGAACACTGACAGATGCGCGCTTTACTAAATGAAATGGGCCGGCGACAAGAAGAGAAGGATTAGAGGATTCAATCTGTACTATAAGGGAGAGCGATGCAAAGTCAACGGCGTCGCCATTGCCGTGTGGCAGAAGCTGGATCATGCCGTTCAAGATGTGCAATGAACATCCGACTGCATCACGAAAGCTACTGTGATCATCGGCAAAAGAGCAACTCATATTATTATCTTCTACGCCCAGCGAAGAGGGCTGTCCAACACCGACAAAGGCAAACGTCGGAAGCAGCTTGCCAAGGTGACATCCACGTTTATTCCACGAAGACCTACACATGGGTTTCAATGGATACATAGGCGCAAGCAACCACCAGTTCGAAGAAGTTCAAGGACGTTTGTCTACGGCTCTCCGCTCGAAGAAGTTCAAGGACGTTTGTCTATATTTCTCCATCTCCAAGTCGAAATACGAGAACAATCGTTGTAAGACTGCGCATCTTAGCACTTTCTGAACTTCCTGGACACGAAGACCTACGGCAATGGTTTCAATGGATACATAGGCGCAAGCAACCACCAGTTCGAAGAAGTTCAAGGACGTTTGTCTACGGCTCTCCGCTCGAAGAAGTTCAAGGACGTTTGTCTATATTTCTCTATCTCCAAGTCGAAGTACGAGAACAATCGTTGTAAGACTGCGCATTTTAGCGCTTTCTGAACTTCCTGGATATAACATTACGGATCTAATTCACAAAAATTCGATGTCTGCATAAGGACTTCAGGTGAGCGACCATGGGCTATAGTAGTTGTTGCTGTGAATATATGTGCTTTACAGACACATTCCACTATTGTCTAAGAGGTGTTATAAGGTTCTCTCGCACAAAATATCCCGGTTCACATTTTCTGAGAGATTTTGAGAACTCACTTTTGAACCGCTCTCGCGGTTCAAAAGTGAGTGACGAGGGTGCTGAGACTGGTCTCACGCTGGAGCGAACGTCAGTAGTAGATGCGCTGGTGTCTGTCAACTTGCTCGTCATCGTGTTCTCTCAGTTTTCATCTGTGGCGGCTCCCACAGCCTCTCACCCTCTCGCTTACTCGTATACTTGTCCAGTGCTCAGAATGAATAGCAATTAGGAGAGCTTCATTATGGGCGTTTCAGATGGTTTCGCTAACTCACCTGTTAACTAGTGAATCAATTATCACCTGCCCGTACTTCGTACAATGCCATAACTTATCATGCAGAATGAGCCGCCTCTAATTAGTACCACATTTACCTGGGCGGCATAGCCTATGGTACTCACCGCACTCGGCGTGGAACTGGAAGGGGATGCTACATCGTTTCCTCTGCACCAAAAATGTGTATGCGCTATTTCCAGCACATGGAACACGCTCGCTAAGCCACAGCATCCAGGTGTATTGAAAGACACCTTAACATGGCAATTCTGAACATAACAATAGAGCAGCAAAAACTAGGAACTGTACCTCAATCCCTGCAATACATGCCTGAAGTAGGCGCACGTACCCTTTGTACTGCGATCGCGTCAGTGCCTTAAATAGATGATTGCTCGGAGCTGAGCAGAATAGTTGCAGCAAGAGTAGGGAAGACCTACAAGTTCCTTAACGAAGTCTTCTTCATCCAGACGTTGTTCCAACCCTAAATTGAGCTTTGAGCATGCCAGTTCTCGCAGGCTTTCGTCTTCCATCAACCTAAAGCCAATGGTTGCAGACAATCGCACAGAAACGAATTAATACATGACTCACGAAATTAGCACTGCTCACCGTTTCAATTTAGGATAGGTAAATACGCCAATACCCAGCCCAGATATAACTTGATCGCAGATCTCACGAACAGTCTGATGGTTCTTGCTGGAAGTGTTATTTCGTTATTTCGAAACCACGATAATATTTGTGCTATTAAAGCATTTGAAGTAGAGCAAATAGCGCAGTACCATTGTTGTGATGCAGCCTGGGAACTGGTTTGGTTCCCAACAGCTCTGATTTTAACTAAATGTTGACTCTGTTCCATTGTTGTTGCAGCCGCAGCAGCAAGAGGTTTCATGGTTCGTTCACGTAACGCATGTGCTTTTGGAGCAGTTTTACTAAACACCTGAAGCAGAATTTGATTAAATGCTACAAAAATGCACACGAAAATACCACAAAGGGCTAAAGTACTGCGCATTACTAAATTGAAAATAGATTCTGGAATTGTGTGATTCTAATCTAAGTGTTTTTAGTGAAACACACTGGCTACAGATGGATTTATTACGATCGACTGCTTATAGCTGTGAACAGTTTTATTAAGATGTCCCTATAGTTCATGATATTGCTTTGATTTTTGTTCAAGATCTTTCTGTTGCTTTATCGGAAACCAGTCATGAGATGTGCACAGAAAAGGGGACACAACCTAATCAATCAATACAACTCATCCTCCTTTGCACGCCTTATTAACTAGATCGTTTTTCATTTTCAATTCACAACTTCAAACCGAATTTACCACCTTTCAAACCAAGTTCACGCCCTCGAAACAAATTGAAGACTTCTCGAGTAGAATCCAAGACTTGGTTAAACATGCTGCACTAGACACTACTGCAGGCCCCGCCCAGACAGCCACCCCGCACTACAGCGTGAACACGGAACTTTCATAACCTGTAAAAAGCCTTCAGCCTTGCGGTTACTGCCGATGTCGGCTAACTGGCTCATCACGCTGAACGTGTGAGTGCTGTAAGGCTATGGCACAAATACACACAATAGCCATTGAGCTGAGTGGTCAGAAGTGGCCTCGGTAGCGTAAAAGGGGACGCAACTGCCCGGTAAGCAGAAGATGCGGGTTCAAATCCCGTCCGTGGTCCGACTTTTGCCCATAACTCAGCATTCTTGTGATAACTTTCATAACATATTTCATTTCGTTATCTTCTTCACATCCCCTCTTCATTTGAGGAGGGTACTCATAGACACGCACTCATGCACTGATACATCAACCTGCGCCCCTTTAACAACGCCAACTTTTGCATCTTATTGCAAAATTTTGATATTTCTTCAAATTTTTTGAGCTGCTAGAGGAAGCCCCCAATATGGGAACCCCGACCACTTGGTAGGAGCCCCGCCCATCTTACAAAAATGCTTCCCCTCCCATCTTTCAAAAAAGCCCCAGATTAGCTAGAAAAACAAAAAACGGAAAAAAAGCAAAAAAAAAGCTGTTTCTTGCCCTCTTTGCTCCGAGTGACGAGCGAACCTTCCACCTACTAGGTGAGGCTCTAACCTACTAGTCTGAGGCGTGTCTGGAAAGCGGGAGCGGCTTCTGCGAGGTGGGCGGCGTTTGCCACAGTGGGGGCGGGGCTTCCTCTAGCAATCGAAAAATGTGAAAGTTTTGAAGAAATATCAAAATTCTGCAAAAACATGCGAAAGTGGGCAGTGCTTAGCGTGTCACTGCATACATGTGCCACTATGATTACCTTCGTCGTGTGAAGAATGGATGATTAACGAGGTTGAAGAAAGGTATGAAAATTCAAAAGTTGACACAAATTCTTTGGAAATTGGGCGGGGTTGCCTATGTTTTGATGTATCGCGCTAAGAAGTGGTCGAGGTGTTGGGGGGGGGGCTTGTAGCAGCACCTAGTGTGGTCTACTTCTCAACTGCCCATTACAAGGGATGTGTCCGATTTGATCTGAAAAGTGTCCGATTTGGTTTGAAAAGCGTCCGATTCAAAGCGAAAATGGTATATCCCCAATAATCTTAGCGAGTGACAATCACCTCGAGTGCCATCTGGCTGGTGTCCCAAAACACATGACAGAGGTCCTTACACCCCGAAAAGTGTTGAGGATTTATAGGTTGGAAGGAAAGTCCTGTCAGTGTTTTTGAAAAGCTTAAAGTTCTTTTCACGATGTTCGTACATGAAGTAACATGCTATGCTTGTAGGACACTCTGGGAGCTTTCCTGCAAGAGGCGTGTGAGGGCGCCTGCTCTTCTCTGGGTTTAATTACGATGTCAGTTTCACAGGGATATCTTCGGCCCCGCGGCAATGGGGCCACGGCAGCTGTCCGTAACATGAACAGTGCATTGAGAGAGGACACCACTACTGTCAGGATCGTTCACTTTTAGTTCGCTCGCTTCGCGAAAAGAGACTCGATCCTCGAAGACAAACCTTGGTTGGGACGGCCCCAAGAAGTATAAGAATCTACCATTCTCGAAGCAGACAAGGGGGATCCAGAGGCTACCACCTGCAGTCTTGCGATAAGACCCGGATGTACCTAACTGACAGTCGTCCACCGCCTGTAGGCCCCTGACTACCAAAAAGTAGTGGCTCGATGGATCACTCATACCTTGACCGATGGCACGCTGTGCACCCTGGCACCCCTTGGGCAGTCTCCCTACTCTGCCCTCGTCAGAAGAGTTTGCGGGAGACTGTTTAGTGGGGAGGAGAAATGGGTCCTCTATGAATTTAACCCACACAGTACCGTTTGTCTCTCTCAAGGAAAAGATCCATTCTAGCAGTCCAAACCGGGCATGTCCGAAAAAGTTCTCCTGTGCTATTACTGGGACGCGAGTAGGTGCTGCTGAACGAGCTGAGCCCCATAAGAATAGACGGTCACTGCCACCATTTGCGTCGCTCTGTGCCAAAACGAGTGAAAATTACTGGAGAAAAATGATCGAGACTTGCTCCAGGTCACCTCGTTCATAGCACACGAGACCCCATACATGCTATGAAGACCTACCAAATAGGTGAGGAGCAAGGCTGGAAGATCAGTCCCGCTCACAATATTCTTCTGACGTAGTCTCCTACGACTGCTGCCTGCCCCGCCTCCTTGAGTCGTAGCTACGAAAACTTCAGCAACTTTGATGACAACAGTCGGGGGCGCTGACTTACTCTATTTGCAGCCTTCTCAGTTCTGAGAGGAGGGGAATGCTTGCCTGTCCATTGGGTGGAGCACTGTAGTGGCTAACTATGACGAGTATATTGTTGACTAATTTCCACTGTATATAGAGTTAGGAAACAAAAAGGAAAAAAGTTACAACGGTGACAAGACTTCCCTTCCAACCTATATTAAGGATTCACCATGAGTAAGTCGACAAGGGAGACGCTTGTGAGTTACTTTCTACAACTTTGCCGCACTATCGCCGAACGAAGTGATTGAACAAGGTTGTAGCCAGGGCACGCCACCGCGTTATCTGCTAAATATGGCCTCCCTCCCCAAGAGAAAGGAGGATCCCGGTGCGATCCTTACCCGAAAAACATGAGGTGGTATCGAATCGGATATTTGAATTTGAATGTCTGCTCACATTCGGCAGTGGCACTGAAGCGAGCTATTTTGCGGTACCTTTTCAAAATGAACCAGGAACTCCGAAAGTACCGCTATTCTGAAAGTCCATATTTTTTTGAATGTGGAGCCTCTGGACAAGGAAAGCAATTCTGTGAAGCTCTAGGTTCGATGTTTATTACCCGCGGTTACGCAATCCCGAAGACCCCCTTGTTAAGGAAATTTCCCGTTGTGACGCCGTTGTTGCAAATCAATGTCTTTCAAGAGATGTTATGCTTAGGCAAGCACACAACAACAATATAACATTTTTCATTTACCTTCTGTGAAACCGAAAAAGTGCCAGAGTGCATAGGACTTTCACTTTCTGGAAAAACACCTCGTTTTTTCTAAACTCGCTACTTATAGTTGTGCTTTTGTTGTGACAGCTCCGGGGAGCAACCACCCCTCGGGCGCAGTACCTTTTCCAGTTCGGTTGAAGACTTCGGTATACTCCGGGAGCACTTCTCTCCGTCAAAGTTATCAGAAAATAGTTCATTTGGTGCTGAATACATAATCTCCGTCCTGCACCATGCGAAAGATGTGGTTCTATGTGAACCTGTTCCGATTGGGGAGAGGGGGGAAGGATCAAAGGTAAACAGCAGAATTATATTTGAGCATCTTTCCGCATGAGCGTGCGGTCACGATGCGGTACCAGCACTGGGCATGCAAAGCACTCGCTTTACGTGATAACCCCTTCACTGGCGTATTACGACCGGTAAGTACGTGTCTGTAGTGTTGGATAACGTATCGGAAACACGAGACTGTGGCTTTTAGCACTCGATATCCTGTGTAAAGCCCCATGTTGGGACCGGTTTTCCTGACTCAGAACTCATGTATAGTCCATTGTTTATCACAAAAATCTTGTGAAGAGTTTTAGGCCTGCCAAGGGAGAGCGTTTTCCTGGCATGCTATCCATTCGGCGAGGCAGAGAAATTCCGTCAGCAAAGGCTGCCTAATTAGCTGCTTGCACACGGAAGAGCTACAACTTCATCTGAATGAATGACTGAGATAACTGGAAGCAATTAGTGCATGTGCGTCGCCCGTTTTATTAAACTAACAGTCGGCCCCTGCCTTTTTCACGTGGAGCAAAGCCGTTTTCCTCCTTGTGCGCGTGAAGTGGGTCTGAGTGTTGAGGGCCAGTTGAATCGCCCAGCTTTGCCGGAGGGAAAAAGTTTTTCTCGTAACACTAACTCGAACACTCCGTTCCACTTATCGTATATACCCCTAGTAGGCAGTTGTGGAATTTCCGTATAGGCAGTGAATGGGGGAGCGGTAATGGAGGCTTGTGGATTGGTTGAAATGGAAACAATTTACATCAGCCTAAATTGTTGAACAACATATAGCGATTGAATAAATAACATAAACAAATAAGTAAACATACTGATCAAACACACTTTTGATTTTGGCCCCGATCCACTGCCTCACATACCCTGTTCACTGCGATTATGTCACTCTTATGTGTCTTGGAACCCAATTACGAACTATCGCAGCAGTGCACATCTTGCTCACTGAGGGTGTCACCCAGCCCATCTGCCAATCCGTTGCTGGGCTTCAGTCATTTTCCTCTTTCTCTGAACTGCCACGGAAAGCATTTTGAGGATTTGTATCCTCAACACATCCACTTCGGTACACGCCCACCCAATTTGGGACGAAGCTTAGCTTAACTTTCGTGTGCACTTAAGATTTTGGCTCATGCCACCTATAACCCGATTATGATCTGTTCCCTAGCGGTGATTTTCTAAAAGTCCTGTCACATTTTAGCGCC